TAGAGCTGAGACTGAAATATCTTAACGTAACATGCTGCATACTGCTTCGCTCTATTGAGCACTCCGAGCTTTTTTGAAGCCAATTTGGCTTTGCTTTCCAAATAACTCCAGAACCGGACTTCGTTTGTGATGTCGACACCAAGTATCTCAATACTCTTAAAGATGGTAAAGGCAGTGTTCTGGAGCTTTGGCGCTATTACAAATGGGGACTTTTTAGGGGTAAACGCGCACACTTGTGTCTTTGCGGGGTTAAATTTGACAGATTCTGTCGGTCCCATTCTGAGACCTACACCAAAGAAGTCTCGATTTTGGACACAAGTTGCAGTCCCTTTTTTTCCACTTGCTGGTGGTTGGCATATTTGGCATATTTGTGCGACCTGTATAGTAGGCATCACCGGTACTGTCATCATAGCAATGAATGTTACTAGTTAATAACATTTCATTGATATGCAGGACGAACAGGGTTGGTGATAGCACAGATCCTCGTGGAACGCCATACACGTTGATGTGTATGGTGTTCGAGCATAATCCGTCAACAGCAACTTTTATGTTACTTTCAGACAGCAAGCTGGCGATCCAAGTGCACAGCCCTTTTGGAAGCTCGTAAGCTGGTAACTTCGATAGAAGTGCCTTGTGCCAGACCTGATCAAAAGCCTTAGCGATGTCTAAGCTCACGGCCATTGCTTCCCCTTTGCTCTCGAAGGCAGCAGCCCTTTGGTGCGTGAGATATATCAGAAGATTACCAGCACCACGACCGCGGCGAAAGTCGTATTGGCAGTCGTTAATAAGCTAGCGATCCTCGATGTAATTCAAGAGCTGGTAGTTTACCACACGTTCCATCACTTTGAAGAGCAAGGAGATTATCGCTATAGGCCGATAGTTGGACGGGTCTATACTGTCACCCTTTTTGGGTTTGGGGTGAACGTAGGCTACCTTCCACGAAGACGGGACTTTACCTAAGTGGTACGAAAACGAGAAGAGGCGCGTTAAGACCGGAGCCAACTCGGGAGCGCACGTCCTGAGCACAATAACGGGAATGCCATCGAGCCCACTGGACTTCTTGACGTCAAGGGCAAATAGACCACGCCGTACCGCATTTTGCGCGAAGCCGATTTCGGGCATTGTGCACTTACACCGCGGGATAGTAGGTGGTTGGTTACCCTCGTCGTCAAGAGTTGAGTTCGACGCAAAATAAGAAAACAGGAGTTCAGCTTTCTCTTTAGCGGAATAAGCCAGTGAACCATCAGTCTTGCGCAATGGTGGTAGTGTGAGTGAACAGTCTTGGCGAGGGACCAGAAGGCACGGCTACCCGATGGGTGGTCAACTAGTTTTTCGCTTTGCAGCGGCAATTACTCTTTTGCAAATCCTGGAGGCACCGTTAAATTCTGCTTCAACTTGGAAGTTTGCGGGTCCTTGGCGCTGACAACAGTCCAAGCCCGGTAAGCCATGCACTTAGCGCTACAAGCTTCACCACAAGACCTACCAAACCAAGGTTGAGAGCGACCACAGACGCGCACTGCAGAATTTGGAATAAAACATTCCATGCCCAACAGTAGCACCTCGGCATTGCACGCTGCGCAGACATCAGGATCGTCCGAAGAGAAGCTCAATTGCTTCCATGGGAAGGAGGCGTAGAACGCACACAATCCATACCAATCAGCTGACCTGCAATGCCAAACACGACGTCTTCCAGGTGGCAGGGGTGTCTGGCCCGGGTAACACTCACTCAGAATGGATCAGTAGATGATCATATGTTCCCAAGGAGGCATGGCGGGACACCCGAATGCCGTCTGGGTGAGACGTCAGCATTAGTTCCAGCAAACCAGGAGTACGACCTTCAATGTCCGGTACTCTGGTAGGACCATCAACTAATTGTGTGAGGTCATGTGCAGCGGCAAAGTCACGCACTGTTCCCCCTGTATAATCGGTACGTGCTGATCCTAATCACTCCATGTGGTGTGCTTTAAAATCGCCGAGCATCAACACTTCCACTAAGGGAAGCTGTTGCAGGATTTCGTCAAGTCCCTTTTGGACGCACCTTAGGAGTCGGTCGGTTTCTGAGTCTCCGCTATGAGACCTGTATAAAGGCACGCGTAGATATATGTGTGGCCCCCGTAATCAACACGCGCCCAGTGTAAAGACAGGTCCCTGTCTTCGAAACTGCCAAGACGGCATGCACACCCCAGCCCGAGAAACATATTTGTGTTTCAGACTATATCCGGGGTACATGAGGTACGATACGTCCGGCAGGATAGATATCTGCGTCTCCGTCAGGAAAAATAAGGCCGGCTTGGACGTCTCGAGATGGTGATGTAGGGTCAGGTTGCGTTAGTCGTATCCCCTCAGAAAAAACAGCTGTAATATTTAAGGTTATTTAAATTAAACCAAACCTTTAGCGTCTACGGGATCTTTATTTATTTTACTATCAATATGTTTTAATGAAAATCCAAAAACGTTTAGTGAGTCAGGCATTGACAACATTTTCAAAAAGCACTTTTGGTACGATTTAGGCACCTGGCTGGTCGCCTATAACCTAAGTCGTACTTAGAATAACACTTCAGTCAGGACATCATAAACTGTATAGTACAGCACTAATAAAACGAGATCATACTAACAATAATTAAAATCTAGAAACAGGTACTAAGGTGGTTAAAATCAAATAATTCTTAATATTTTTGAAGGGAGAGAACAATCCCAAAATCTCATGTGTAAGGAAGGGAACACAGAAAACAAAAATTTTAAACGCTTAAAAAATAGAATTATGAATTGTCATGAAATAAAATTATAATTTCTTCTGAAACGAACTTACAAATTGTAATGAAATAAAATTAACATGCTTCAGTAAACAAATAAAGGCATATTGTATAATAAAGGCACTAAAAATTTTGTTTTGTTGTGTAAAAATATTTAATAAAATATTTAACAAAAATATTTAGCTAAAAACTAAGGAATAATTTTCATAAATTCCTAAGTCGTACCGGTATGATTAAGGAATTTTCCACGGGTACGACTTAAGCAACTACACTTTCAAAATTTCAATCAAAATTACTGTTATAACATGAAAAGATCTGCCGTTTGCTTGTGCTTAAATAAATGCTAAAATACGTCAAAAGTGGACGAATACCAAAAAATTACTTTACCACCATATTGCTCCTTGGAATAACTTCCGAATGAATAAGAAATTTTAAAGAAAAACGTCAAAAACTTACTTTTTCATATTTTTTCCAACACGAATATTGGCCGGCCGCCGGTTTGTTTTTGTTTACTCGCTTAACTTAATAGTTCAAATTTATATTACTAGATATTACTTCTCACGCATGTGAGGCCAGATATCGCTCGAGTACGACTTAGGCGGTGGTACGTCTAACGCAACCTTACCCTACGTCATTCAAGTTAGAGTGAAGTCCCCTGATGTTGCAAAAGTCCACATTTAAAGTGGAACAGGGCGCCGCTATATGGACGTTTTTCCATTTTTGAGCAGCCATAAATTAAAACATGTAAAGGGAGGATGAAGCGGATTGGCACAATCTCAACAATTGCTTGGGTAAAGAATAGACCATATTCCACTCTGGAACACCTAGTGTAGCGCCTCCCTGGCATGGGGGACGGAAGAGCCCCCGGTCCAACCTAAGTTTGGCCGACGGGTTCAACTCCGGGGTCCCAGTCCGGCACAAATACCAACGCATAGGCTTTTATCACTGGCGGCAGGACGGCCTCACTGGCTAGGACAAGCTCGGTCAGGTCCTCTACGTAACCCTGTCCCCCACGCCAAAGCGGTACGCTCAGCGCAGCGCAGAGCCAGGCTCCAGGACCATGCGAGCTGAGAACTGGTGAGACTGTGGGAATCGGGAGGGAGGAGCTGGTATCCGCGTGCACAGACGGAACACACCCAAAGGTCCTTTGCGACAGACTCCGACGCGGGATGGTCGCTATCTAGTCGAGTCCTATGAGGGGCTCAGCATCAAGCTAGGCGATATTTGAATATTACGTGAGACCATCGTAAAGCCTAACCTGAGATCTTAAGGAATCAGTTGTTCATTTGCCACTACCCAGGAGTCACGTGTAGGGAACCTACCTTGAAGGCTTAAGCGTTTTCACTGTGGGCGTTGGATGATTAGGTTTGATTCTCGTTAAGACCGATTTGGAAAATGAATTTTTCTAACTTGGTTCAGGGTATTTTTCTAACTTGGTACTCTCGAAGCACGAAATTCGTAGTAACTGCCGTTTTCCCGCTATGGATGATCTACGGAAGTACTCACTGATCTGGGTGTTTTGGATAATGCGAGTGAAGTCCGTCCGAATTGGTGAGTTGTCTAGTGAGTAAGTAATGATTGTCCAAAACAAAAGTGTATCTCAAGATATCTAAAGATGTTTCATGGGATAGATTTACGTAAAAATGAGCATAGTATTCATACAGTCATTCTCTCTCCAAAATAATCTTCATCTCTAATTAAAATTATGGTATCATAGAATTTTAAATTTTGGCATTAAGATATCCCATAGGTCACTTAAATGAAACGTTTGAGTATTTATGATATCAAGAATACAGTAAGAAATAAACTGTTAAAATATGCTTTTAAACTAGTTAAAAATCCAGATTTTAACATTTCAATTAAGGACAAAATAAAACGCAAAAAAGAAGGTTTTAACTTACTGCTTTATTTGATCAACTCCATACCCACATTGCTTCTTATGTCTTGTCATAATTCTGACTTTTCTTCCTTCGGAGAATTTATACAAAATATTTAATTACAGAGAGTTACTTCCTAGCACTTGTTATGTTTGCAACATCATCTGGATCTGGATAGTATAATAATAGTTACTTTCATATAGCCTGGTTAAATTTGAATGAAAATCATTTTAATACTAAATATAGTAAAAACAGTAGCACTTTACCTCTTTGTGAAAGAGTTCGTCCTGAGAAGTACTGCCATCATATTCATATTTCTACCGCCAAGCATTAATTTTAGCATTACTGTGTTCCGGTTTTAAAAGGTAAGAGTGAAACTTGGCACATGGGATTTGCTAACTTTATGTCTGTGAGTGGTGGTGTAGTGGCAGTACTACTCAGATCTTTGCGATTTAAAGCTCTGAATGTCACTGTAATTGTTATGGGTAGCCGTGTCGCGTCCTTCTTCGTCCCGCCACTTGGAATCATAAAAAAATAACACATATAACAGATATTTCTAAACATTTGTCTTTGACGACTTATTTAAGTCAAAATTAAAACTGCTCTTAGCGTTTTACTTTACGGATCGAATTACGTCTCTCCAAAAATAAGAAATGAGTCCACGAAAGGAATTGTTAAACAAAATTACCTTTAGCTCAAAACCTTTTTTGGATTTGGGTCAACTAAATAAACTAAATCATTGGTGTCCTTAAACTTTTATGGTGAACTGGATTGAAATGAATTGAAACCTATTATTAGTGGAAATTGAGTTTAGTACTTACTATTGTATAGATATATTTATTAGATTGATTTTGTGATCCGTGCAGTATATTCTATAATTAGAAATACCTTTTCATTATCTGTCTATTATAACAACTTAATATCCAACAGGAACTAATATTGACATTCAATCTAAATTTCAATACAAGATAAATACGAAGCAATCGTTTTCCCTTCACGATGCTTCAGTACAAACTGTACGAAAGAATAGATACTGTGAAGCGTTAAACAATTCCAGTTTTCCAGCGAGTCGGCAGTAAGAATTGATAGCGTCCTTTGAAGCGGGCATCGAGAACTTGAAAAGAAAATAATCTTGATGAAACGTCTAAACGTCGTGCAATAAAAGAACAACTTGCTTCCATGTTACTCGAAGTGACGCGTTAACGAAAAGCGTTTAGGAGAGGGAAAGCAAAATCGCATCTGCTAAGGACGGAGAGCATAAATTTGAGTAAGTTACTTTTGCCTTTTTGTTTTTTGTTATGAATCGAATCACTGTGTATGTATTTTAGGTTGCAGCTTTATTAAGATTTTTAGTACGAGTCGCAAGCTTGGGGATTAAATTTAACAAAAAAATGTGGTGAAATTACATGAACATAGGACTTGTCAACTTACGTTTCAGGGTGACGGGCGCAGTGGCAGTGCCCTCATATCTTTGTGATTTAATGCTCTGAGTGGTACTGCAACTTATGGGTAGGCGTGTCGTTTACCTCCAGATGCACAACTAGTTCGTCCTGTCGCTTGGTATCACAGAAAGCCTTTCAGCGCTTCTTAATCCACAAATGAAGCAATTTTTTCAATTTTCAATTTTCCCTATAATGGGTTTTACCCATAAAGCAATTTTTTCAATTTTCAAATCACAATAATGCGTTTTACCCATAAAGTTTTACCCCTAATATTCTTCAAATGTCAAATCTATTTTTGCTCTGCATTAAACAAAAGCATTATGATACATACTAATGAAGGTACAAAGTACATACTTTCTATACTACCACCAGACTCATTGACTTCTTCGTCCCGTTACTTAGAATCATAAAAAAATACAGATAGGTTGATGAGGTGTTATATTAACAATACTCCTAGAATCCTGACGCTATTTTCCGTCACCTGCCAACCAGACTCTGTGAAGCAAACCTTTACACTGTAACTTGTTCTATCGATCTTATATGAAAAAAATACTTTTAGTTCAATGTTACTAATACGTGAATGTGACGAAAAGATTTTTGTCACACTTGGTTTTGCAACATTGTCTTTGTAAATAATCTGAGCCAAGTACGCAATTCACAACATTCTGACTAATGAGTTTTCTTTTGACAATGGCTCAAGCGTTTTGTTTCAAGTTGGCATTTCATTGTCGCAAACTGTTTTCATCTTGATGACTCCATTATATTTAATGCTTCAGTGGTTTTAGTGCTGAAGGCGTATAATGGAATTGGTAACAATATAAAGGGATTATTATATTTTCCAGTTACCAAGGTTTATCAATATTTAAGAAAATAATTTCGACCCTAACTTTAAGTTTCTTCAAATTACGCCCATATTACCACCCACCCATATTGCAACAGCCCTGGCAACCAAATGGTTTGATCTACCGCCTCTCAAGCTGGATGGTCGGGAGTTTGAATTCGGGCTTGCACCTTTGAGTATTTTTGGAATTTATGTGCGAAATTCAATTTGAATTTTACAGTTAGTAGCGGTAGAGCTCCTTGTGAAAGAGTTTGTCCAGGGAAGTACTGCCACCTTACCTATTTCTGCCATCAAGCAGTAATGTCAGCATTACTGTGTTCCGGTTTTGAAGGGTAAGGATCCTGGTGAAATTACAGGTACATGGGACTGGTCAACTTATGTCTCAGGGTGACGGGCGCAGTGGCAGTGCCCCTCAGATCTTAGCGATTTTAACTTTTACTTACTATTACGGACAGGCACACGCCTGTCCATAACAGTTGCAGTGTCACTCAGGGCTTACCATCAGGCGTACGACTTGTGCGTTCCGTCACTTGATATTATATAAAAGCAATTCTTGCGATTTAATGCTCTGAGCGGTACTGCAACTGTCATGGACAGGCGTGTCGCTTACCACCAGGTCGGAGTTGTTCGACCTATCACTTGGTATCATAAAAAATATTATTATTATTACAACCTAAGGGCACCGTGATGTCACATTTTTCAAATAAAAATTCGATATCTCAAAGAATAATAAATATATAAATACTGCCTAGCGTAAACTTTCGTACAACAACCACGTAATAGCAAATTGTGCAATGTTATTCATGAAACTGAGCAACTTTTGCACTAGATACGAGTTTTCCATTTTAAACTTTCATATTTCGTATAAGAAACCACTGTTTAAAGGCTTTATATACAATTTGTGTTTGTACACATTTGCATTTGTGCTACTGTTAGTACGAGCGTTTTATATAATAAAAGAGACTTGTATCTTTTATAACATTATAGTTAAATGAATATACATCAATTCATATTATTATTTAAGTATTCTTCTAAATATTTTAATGTGAAGTCAGACCCAAAATGGACACTGGCGTATTTCAACACACATGAAAAATCAGGTTTTTGACATTAATGAGTATTTTTCATTGATAATGAAAACAGAAGGTACATGTAGTAAACTAATTGGCCCGAGAAACAATATTTAAATTTCACTAGGTATAAAAAACAATTCATTTATTCACTACTTACTTTCATTCGATTGTTATTAGATACATTTCAATGAAACATTTCTCTCACGTGTTCTGTGATAAATACGTCAGTAGACTAAGATCTTATTTTATATTATGTCTGTAAATTTCTGCCGCCAAGCAGTACTTTACTAAGTTCCAGTTTTGAAGGGAAAGGGTGCTGTTGAAATTACCGGCACATGGGACTTGTCAACTGATGTCTCAGGGTAATGGGCGCAGTGGCAGTGCCCCTAAGATCTTTGTTATTTAAAGCTCGGAGTGGCACTGCAACTGTTATAGACTGGCGTGTAGCTTACAGTCAGGTGCACGACTTGTTCGTCCCTTAAAAATAAGTATATAAATTCGAATTCAAAATTCTAAATGCAAATTGTAATTTATTTAATAACGAACCAATTAGCCCGTATTTGTTACTAAGGATGTTATGCGCTAAGTTAGTAGAAACGTGGAAAACAATTAATTGTTTATAAACAGAATTAAATTACACATTACTCTATATCATATTTTCACGTGTAACACGGTGAAACTACGGAAGACAGTCGAGTCCACTCTTTCTGTTATCATCCTCATTTCGTCCTTAAAAATTTGTGAAATCTCCTTTTTTGCTTCTTACTTCGTTCTTTGTAGTCGATTTAAAAAGTAAAAATAGGTATAACCTAGGATGTAACCTTAGAAAAATAGATGGAGCATTGTCATAATTGCTACTCAATCGTAATTAAGTTACATTAATATGTCTGCAGCATTATACGAGACATTAACTCTGTGATGAAGTGTAGGAAACGTTATACTTTGATGAAACTAGAACATACCGATAACAACATTCGTTAGTGAAACTCGGAACTTTATTCATGAATTTGTGATATTCACCGTCGCTCTACCAAGTTATTTAGCTTTATAACTTTCTGCTGCGCTTAGTGTGCAGTTTGATTTTTGACTTCTCTATTTCCTTTACCTTAAAAATAAATAAAAAAACATAAAACTGGCTTTATTTCGCATGCACCACTCACTTAAACTATAAACATATACGTGTAGTAGCGGTAGAGCTGCTTGTGAAAGAGTTCGCCCGGTAACCTACCACCTTACCTATTTCTGCCGCCAAGCAGTACTGTGTTCTGGTTTTGATGGGTAAGGGTGCTGGCGAGTTTAGCCCCTTTCACACCTGTACCGAATCATGAATTGACAAGTGCAGTGGCAGCTGACCTCGGATCTTTTCGATTTAAAGCTCTGAGTGGCACTGCAACTGCTATGGACAGGCGTGTTACTTACCACCAAGTGCACGACTAGTTAATCCCGTCATATGGTATCATTAAAAATGACAATACTATAAAAAGGTAATCACAATAATAGACTAAAAACAAAATCGTAATTGAATAACAAAAGAATAGAGAAAGCGTGTCAAAAGGGTACACGACTCGGCATCTGAGGGCTGTATGAATACATAACCCTTGCTGTTATTCTGTCATGTAAAAGAACATAGCAAAAATAATAATACACTGGCACAAATAATTGCCTAAATCATGGAAACTATGCGTTACACACAAAATAAGTTGTGATCACACAAATAACAATTGAGCAAAGAAAATAATCTTATTGTTAAGACTTATTAATACGAAAAAATAGTAATTATATTTATATTTAAATATTATATTGAAAATTTAAATACATAAGTACACGAGCACAAACTTCACCCATATTGTAAAAGTATTAAACTTAAAAAAATGCTCTATGATCACATAGTAACTAAAAATACAAGTAAAGAATATCCACTTGTCTTCATTTGGTTGAATATTTTGATAACGATGCATATGGTTGTATCTATCTCTGTTATTGTTATCTCCCAAATAAAATCAAAATAATTGGTCAGTAAACAACAATAATTTATAATAAAGAAATATTTTCTTTCCGCTATCGCTTTTATAAACTCCTGGTTGAAGATGCTGGAGTTTATAAGCTTGCTTGCCAGTGAGGCTTCTCTTATATTGGATAGATGGATGAACTGTACTGAGCTGGACTTTGTACTGTTTAACCTTGTAACATGATGTTTGCTCCTAGATTTTAAAGTTTTCTGGCAGTGTAGCTTTAGCGGTGTAGTAATCTGTCTAAATATCTTGTGAAAATATGGTCGGCGGTATGTAACCGCGGTCGTCCCATTCGGCACTGGGCCAAGCACGTACACAATTTACTTAGCCGCGTCCCACCTACAGCGTGATTCGAATACAGTCAGCTTAAATACTACTGCAAAGTCCGTTACTTTGGGATTGCGTTGGAGTGAATTTGTGAAAAATACTAATGAAATCTTACAGTGACATTTCACTGTAAGATTTTGGTAACAAATAAGCACTAACAGATAGGACGACCTCGGCCCCTCAGAAGTTTATACTGTGGGCGCTGGATGAATAGGTCCCGGGTTTGATTCACTGTACGACCAAATTGAGAAATGAACTTTTCTAAACTAGTGCTGGCCAGGATGTTCTGGGAAGTGCCTTAGACTGAATTATGTTATGCTGGTACTCATAGTGCAGGGAATGCCCTCGTTTGAGATCAGGAAATTGGTGTGGTTGTTTGGCAAATTACATTTGTTAAAACTTAAAACACACCTACTTGT